TTTTAAAAAAAAAAAAAAAAAAAAAAAAAAGGGGTTGCTGGGCCCGCTTTCCAGCAGGTGAGGCTCCCCAACATAGATTGGAGCACCCCGTGCAGAGAATACTATGGGGAGATGCGCGTAACACTCCCCATAGTAAACTTGGCCCAGTTAAAAAAAAAAAAAAAAAAAACTGGGTAAAATTGTTGAAATGCCCTTGAAAGTTGGGGGTATTTCCTTGGGTACATAGAAAAGGCATGGGTATGGCAAAATGCCCCTATGACAGGTGGGAAACTTTGTGAAATACCCCACTCGCCAATTGGACCTGCCATCTTTTGCATATACCCCTAGGGGGCCGTGGGCAACTTGTCTATATGCCCGGTACTTCTGACCGCTGGATCCTGCAGTTGGTAAATGAAATGCCCCGGCCCCCTGCAGTCCAGGGGTAGGGCATATGGCTAAGTTGGCGATGAGCGGGACAGGGGCAGATGCAAAAGTTTGGGGCATTTTGCTGTAGCCCTGTGTTTTAGGGGTATCTGACGAAATACCCCACCTTGTACGCGTATTTCACCAATTTTCCCAAATAACTGTCAGAAAAACAACGAGGAAAAGCGATCTGCAGTTAAACACGTCAGGTAACGGACAGGGGTCTCAATTTTAGGTAGAATTCCTTTTTTTTTTCCCCTCTTTTTTCCCCAAAGAAATCCCTTTAAGTTGTGGGTGCTAGAGGTGGTGATAAGAGCAATCACCGCTACTGTCTTCCCCCAAACATAACGCACCCTGAAATTGAACGTATGCAAGCTATATTTCTGGTCTGGTTCAGCCAAGATGAGGGTGCGTTGTGTTAGGGGGGAAGATGGTAGCACCCCGGGGAGACTCCACCTATGGGTGGGGAGCATCACCTGCTGGAAAACGGGTCCAGCGACCCAAGTACACCACTTGTCTGAGGTCACCAGAGGAATGTAACAGTGAGCGGGGCAGCATTTATTACCTTGGGACCCAGGGGATTAACTGAGCAGGCATCTTATGAGAGATCCCGGCCCCGTTACCTGGCGCTGACAAGAAAGGACGAATTCTATTATCCCTGATTAAAAAAAAAAAAAAAAAAAAAAAGGCCTTCTCAGTGTCCATGCTCGTGTGGGAGGTTTGCACTCATGTGAAGACAGGGGCGAGGTCCCATTAGCAGTCGGATAGGAGTGTGGCCGATCCAGTGTGACACTGAGTGGCAGCGGCCAGACAAGTTCATTACGAATTTCTGGGCTGGGAAAACAGGAAAAAGGCCAAAAAAAAAAAAGAAACAGAGACCTCCCACAGGAAGTCAAGGCAGAGTGCTTCCCAGCCATCAGATCACAAATGATCTGATGGTGGTGGTTGCAAAAACAGTGAACAAAGTAACGGCCACATTTTCTGGAATAAACTCGACTTCTGACAGCAGTGATCCTGACACCCTCCATGTACTCCGTGATTGAAGGAGGGATCTACCCAATGAGATAATTGCACAACAGCAAGTAAAATGCTGAAAATCTTCTATCCAGTGGGCTAAGGCCGACCCCAACCTCGTTTGGGGTTGGCCACACCCCCAATCGATTGATAAGATTCTGACGGGAATTCTGACGGGAAGCTGTCTTTCCACGGGCATGCCCAGTGTTAAGGAGAGGAGGAGGGGAATGAAGATCTCCCTACTTTTTCGGGTAATACATGTAAAATACTGACGGTGGGATCACGAGTAGTGCACGGCAGGATTTGGGTCACTCAACTGCCCCACAAACTCGTTTCTATCCTATCCCGTTGCTAGTGGAACCTCGCCCCAGAGCTTATGCGGACATGAGACAGGACATGGATAATAAATATTAATAAATATAAGAAACGGCCGTGGACGCGGCAGGTTTTGAGTTCTTACGGCAAAAAAAAAAAACACGAGGCGGCAAAGAGTTGGTTAGGCATGCAAGTGGCATTCAGGAGGTTGTGGGTTCAAGCCCCATGGCCGCCTGCGGCGCACTTAGTGCCAACGGACTGTGATAGTCCTCTGGATACCCCTGATTGGTATTAGCGGGGTCTATGACCAACACGGGTGTGAGTGTCAGCGCGAGTGGGTTGTGTGTGGTGTGTGGGAGAGTGTTGGCCATAGCCTCTGTTGCTACTCGATGAAGGGTGGGGGACGATGAGAAAGGGAGGCACAGCTACTGGCAGGTCTCGGTCTTTGTGTTAGCCAGACCCCCACTGGCGGCCCCAACCCTATACCCTAACCATTAGGGGCAAGGGGCAACATGAAATCTCCCCTTGANCCACACACACACACAAAATACAAGACTGTCTAAACCATCCAGAACCAGACCAAACCGGGCCCACAGAAAGAAAACAGGAATCAAACATGTCGGACAGATTTGGCCCGGCACTTCCAAAGACCCCAAAATGACAAGATAAGAGCAGTGACAAAGTCTCACTTGCCTTTATTGCTTCGAAGTTCCAATTAATGCATGCATCGCACCCAAGATCCACACTCGCGGGTATGCGGCCCTCTCTCTCTCTCTCTCTCTCTCTCTCTCTCTCTCTCTCTCTCTCTCTCTCTCTCTCTCTCTCTCTCTCTCTCTCTCTGTGCCCGTGTTTGCCTCAGTAGGCTGTGAGTCCAACCACCATTCCTTGGTTTCCCTTTTTTGTGTTTTGTTTGTTTAAAAGGCTAATGCTTTAAAATCCTCCGATTCCAAGTACCTGTGGAATGTGGACAAGACACTGAGGACAGCCGTTCAGGCGCTTTTATCATCATTGTAGTATTACAGGGAACCCGGCCACATCCGTGTTCGTACCTCCAATCAGGGAACATGTAGGGGCTTCACCCACCAGCAGTTGGGATACCTGTAGCAGGTACGTATCCCAACTGCTGGTGGGCGATACCTCACTTGAATCTACCATCGGACAGATTCTCTCTTACTCACCCACACACACACAGGCACACACACACTAAGATGGACATGCATGCACAAACACACGTTCTTTTCTTCGTAACCTTTGCATGGCTGAGTAAATACTAAATACGCATATACTAATCACTGCATGCATAAGTATTTAAATTTTAAACGCTGTTACGGACGTCCAAATTTTCACTAGTATAGAGATACACCAATACATACAGCATCCCCGTATATATAGAAAAAGGGGGAACTAGATACACATATTTGAGGGTATACCCCACAGGTTGTCTACCCATCATGCCTCACCTAACACCCTTAGCTGCAGCAAACACGACGCTCTTGCAATTATTTGGTACCCCGTACTACAAATGCAGAACAACACACCATTCCAGATTGACACATAGCCTCTACCCTTTCCTTTCTGGAAAATTCTGGCCTATTATATCAGTCCTTCCACACATCATCAACACCAGTCCGGAAAAGACGATAATGCCCCTTGAAATTGCCCACCCACCATTCCCTGCCTAGCACTCATTCATCATACTTCCACCAACCACTACACCTGTCTCTTATACACATCTAGATGTGTATAAGAGACAGGTCTAACGACGCCCAAAAAGGAGTTATACTAATTGCACTATTGAGCAAGATACAGTTTGCAATTCCACTTCGAACACCCTACCTGGCCAGAAAGCTGGGTTGTATACATTGCCGGAACTGCAATTCGAAACTCTATCTTGACCCATAGTGCAATTACAGTTCATTTTATTGTGACTCCTGCGTAGTTTCCCCTTTTTGTTTAATCATTATAATAATAATATTATTACAGGTGACTCCACAGCAGCCACATCCAGAACCCCGTCGCAGCCACATCCATGTTCATGGCTCCAAAGAGGGAACAAGTGGGGGCAAGGGAGCAAATGGGGGCTGCACCCACCCGCAGCAGGTGGGACAACCGATACTGGATACCTGCCACAGCCGGTGGGAGATACCGGCCAGGGCCCAGCTGCTACCTTCTTCCCCCGAATACAATGCACGGTCATTTAGCTGTATTTCAACTGATATATACCCCAAATATAGCTATAATGACGGTACGTTGTATTCGGGGGAAGAAGGTAGGGTCACAGTCACAGATCTTGCCAACTGGATACCTATCTCTGCACCTACCCTCCCCCATACCCTTCCTCTCCCAACATCAGCAATCTCTGCTTAATGCCGCGATCGGAAGGGCCAACGGGCTATCTCTAGATGGTGGGTGCCCGGCATGCCCAAGAAGATACATGAGGCCAATTGGGGTTGAACCCAAGACCTCCTGAATGCCACTTGTGTGCCTTACCGACTGAGATAGGCTGCTGACTTGTCCCTAAAATCAACAGCCGCTGGAACTAACAATTTTCAAATTTCAAATTTCTATTTTCTATTTTCAATTTTCAATCTTGTGAGAAAAACAAAGAGGAGGACCACCGATCTGCAGTGTAACAGCTTTTGTAACCGACAATTGCCAGCATCCTCAAGAGAGAGGGATGCCATTTTTGCTAATGCTATCACCATCCAGGAGACCCCAACCTGACCTTGATCGCCATTTCGACTATAAAATTATAAATCATGATTGAAAAAGAAAACGATCAAGGATTGACGCAGTCATTCATCATAAACATATATCCTTTTTTTGAAAAAAATTCTGTTGTTGGTAACTTCAAATTAATGGGGGCTTGAACTGACGCCTTTTCTCGTATCCTTTTCTAGTGTTTTGGCTAACTGCAATTTTCTAGTTGTTTTGGCTAACTGCAAGTTCCCATTTGGCTATGTGGACGTAGTTTATTGTGTCCAACCTGGGGGCTCGAACTCACGACTTTTCTAGTATCATTATTATTGAGCGTTTAGGCTAACTGCAAGCATCCCATTTGCCCATTTGGCTATGGCAGGAGTTTCAACAAGAACTTCAGCTGCTCTTGCTTGTCCTTTCAGGCACAGTATGGTCAAGCCATCTGCCATCGGGCGTACAGGGTTCGATAGTAGCAATGAAAGGAAGTCGGAAAGTGCGACCTGCTATGAATGGCATGCGCGCCGTTGAGGATATCCGGACGCACTCAGAAATCTCGAGTCCGCGGAAGCGCGAAGTGGGAGTGCTCGTCCACCACCCGCTTGCATGGCGTGTCTTGTTGCCAGACGTGCCAAGGGTTAGGGGGGATAGCCAAGTCGATTCCTACCTCTCATCCTCTCTTGCGCAAATGGATCTAGCCTCGCAAGCGTTGGAGGATATCCGAAGAGGCGTTGAGGGGGGACCTTGTGAGCGAGATCTGAGAGAAGCTTGGAGGAGCGTGGCGGACGCCAAGCGTGCTTCTCTGCAGGAGCAATATGTTATGGCGATTGCCTCTCTTTCTCGCGCACAGACTTTGAGTGCCATGTGCCTCAATGCCCTGGAAGCCGACCAATACAAGGGCGACATCCTTCGCGGCTACACCCTTCCTAAGGGCATCTATAGGCTTGTGCAAACTGTCATCGAGTACATCGTAAATTCTAAGGACTTTCTGATTAAAACCTACGAGATTGTTGGAGGAGAGATGTCCCAACAGCAACCGCAAACAAATGCTGCATTTCGCGCACCGATCGCCGATGCTGCGAAATCCATTGCGGATTCGAGAACGGCTGTCAATTCACCTTTGCTCTTCGAGGCATCCAAACCAACAGCGATGACAGGGAGTCCTACGGTGGTGAGAGCCTCTGTCTCTCCATTGACGGCAGCAGAGGTGGTGGTCGGCAACGGTCACGCTAAAGGGAATCTTTCCGACCTCAGGCTGCCCGCTGTTTTTGATGCAGCGAAGTCGATTGACGATTCGCTGAATCCAGTTCTAAGCATGCGTGATGATGCCGAGCCATCTGGAGGAGGATTCAGGGCTAATTCTAAGGCAAAGACTTTGGGTGCTGGTGATGCGCAATTTGATGATCATCAGTCTAGCCACAGTGGCGCAAGCTCCGCAGCATCCAATGAGATGGATGGTCTTGCGGAAGATGATGACGATGCCAAGAATAGCGCCCTCAGCAAATTGTTGGTCAGCACACTGCCTGATTCTAAGGCAAAGACTTTGGCTGCTGGTCACACTCAATCTGATGATCGTCTGTCTAGCCACAGCGTTGCAAGCTCTGCAGCATCCAACACCGCAGATGGTCTTGCGGAAGAAGACGACGACGCCCAAAATAGCGGAGCGATGCATTGGGGGATCGCCGCCAAAAGCATCAGAGAGTCAAACAAGGCATCTCAGTCTGAAAGCACCACCCAGATCTCCCAGGAAATGGACAAATCACCTGCTTCTGGAGGAGATCGTCAAGGACCGCCGGTAGCTGGAAAGGATGACCATAAGAATAGAAAAAGTGAGAAGAATGAGGATAACACAGAGGATGTCGATGTGGAAGGGCCTGTGCGGCGTTGGGGTGGGACCGGCGCAGGTGGCGGAAAGCGCGCGCCGAACAAGAAAGATGAAAAGGTAGTAATGGCACGAAAGCATGGCGATGAATACGCTTGGTCGCGTCTTTCTACAGCCACCACAGATGATCATGGAGACCTCCCCTCACATCCTTCGCAAAACGATGCCAGTGCCGTAAAGGCGAGGCCGGGTGCTGACACCTCAGCAACGAGGCCGGAAACTCCACCAGGTCATGGGCCGGTGGCTGGTCGAACTCCGCCCCACCCGAGGAACGATACGTCTCATTTGGAACGGGCAGCAAATTCCGACTTTTCATTGAGAAAGCCGTCTGAGAAACCTAAGCCCGAAGATGTAAAACGCAATTCAGACGACGAGGAAGAAAATAATTGGGAAGGGTCAAAGGGAAACTCCAGCGAAGAAGAGGAGGAGGAGGAGACGGAGACAGTTTCGCACAAACGGAAGAAACCAAGCAAACCTGAACCAGACCTTGGTGTTCATCCTGAGAAAGGGGATTTCATTGTGCGAAACTTTGTAGACGAGTGTGTGAAGTCGAAGGCAAACATCAAGGGGCTAGCAGACTGTGGCTTTGGATATGGACGGAACGCGCAAGGAGGTCGCGGCGGCGAAGTGTATGAAGTCACAAGCACTGCCGACAACCCATCAAAACCTGCAGAAGGAACCTTACGGTATGCATGTCAGCAAGAGCGTCCTCTGTGGATAATTTTCACGGAAAAAGTGATGAATTTCAAGCCAATCGAGCAGATCAAGGTGTCTTCTCACAAGACAATCGATGGACGGGGTAGCAAAGTGACAATCACGAATGCAGGCCTGAGCCTCAAAGGTGTTAAGAATGTCATAATACACAACCTTATAGTGGAGAAGTGCAATGATGGCACGGACATGGATGCGATCCACGTGGAGGGTTCTCAGCATGTGTGGGTGAACCACTTGTCTCTTTCAGAGAGTGCAGATGGACTCGCGGATTTCACCCATCAATCCACTGATGTGACCATCTCCAATTGTAAATTAACCAATCATGACAAGGTGCGTGCCATTGGCTCTGACAGTGCAGTGCTTCTGTGAACTGCATGCCTGAAAATGTGGAAGTAATGCATTAAACAAAAAAAAAAAGAAAAAAAAAAAAGAAGATTGCTCTCCCATCATGCACTTACCTTCCCCACCTTGCCCAGACCTCTGGCCTTTTTTTTTTTTCTCTCAAGGAAAAGCACAGTTTTATTTCCAAAAGCACAATCGGAGGTTGGGAATGCCTCTGCATCTCAACCCGGAGTACTGGGGCCATTACCCAGCTTCGGCTAGGTGGAAGGCGGGTCCAGCGTCCCAATCAACACCCTATCCGAGTCCATCACCCATCAGCAATCAGCCTCTTCACAATTTTCGTACGTCCTTCTGCTTGCCCAATTGGATGACCACCTCATCCTGGCAGCAACCAAACTACCCCCCTTGCCTCTCTCTCTCTCTCTCTCTCTCTCTCTCTCTCTCTCTCTCTCTCTCTCTC